AGAGCAACAAACCTGAGTAACCAAATGAAGGCCAGCTGGACAGGAGTCTAATAACCAAGTGTTTCCAGAAGCTGCACAGAGACTGGGAGGGGAGAATGAGACACCTACCCTTGCACTCAGGTGGGTCTGTCCACTTCCCACTGAAGCAGGTCACCACTGCATTCCCGAAGAGGCCAAAAGGGTGCCTGCATTCATAACGTGCTGTGTCCCCATGTTGATACCTAGGCTTCTGGTTTGGTATAAAGGCATTTCGCACTGAGGGAGGGCTGCCACAGGAGAGATCTGAATAACAAGAAAAAAATGGATCTCTAATGCAGCAATCATTTAGATGCAATTGAGACTGAAAATCTTCACAAATTTACATGCAAGATTGAAAAAAGATAAAGCAATTTTTTTTTTGGTAAGAGGCAATCTTCTATATCTTAATTTTCTTTTTTCATTCTCTCTGAAAAGTTAATAGAGATTTTTCAGGCAATGAAAATGATGATTATGCCGTGTAAAACGTTTTAGTTTGATGTAGTCCTATTTGTTTATTTTTTCTTTTGTTTTGCTTGCCTGAGGAGATATATCAGAAAATAAATATTACTATGAGAAATGTCTAAGATTTTACTGCCCATGTTATTTCTTCTAGGATTTTTATGGTTTTTGAATCTTGCATTTACGTCTTTAATCCATTTTGAGATTATTCTTGTGTAAGGTATAAGACAGTGGTAAAATATCATTTTTCTGCTTGTGTCTGTCCAATTATACCAGCACCATTTATTAAACAATGGCAGCCCAATAAATTCAATACAAATTTAAAAACTTTTTTAAAAGTAAAAAAAAAATGATGGGGTTTCTGAACATTTTTCTTTAAGTTTAGTAAAATAAATGTAGATATAAAATCAAAGTGAATTTGTAAACACAAGACACACATAATGAACGTATTATTTGGCAACCAAATGTGGTTCGCAAACATCATGTTTTTGAATTGGGATTTCAGGCCCTTAGGAAATGAGCACAGTAGCCAGGTTCTTAGAGAGTGAGTCACGTATTGCCATGCTTTGAGGAATATCACACGGCTAAAGAAGGAGATACGTACTTAAGATATCCACACAGAAACTGAGGAAAACTAAGAGTACAATATATTTACAGTTTCCTAAAAATACTCCAATAATGTAAGTGCTTAAGGGCACTGCAGTGAGCACTGTGCAGTTCATTGGGGAGACTCGGGTGGATATAAAGTAATAAGAAGCTGAAGCTGCGGTTCCCCACAAAATGGGCGTAGAGCCCGCTGGGAATTGCTACAACAGTTCCAGGGTCACAACCCCTGAGCTTCTGATGCTGAGTCTGAGTGAGCCAGTGAGTTTGCATTTGCCTTCCTACCGATTCCCCAGAGACGCTGTCACGGCTGTTTCCGGGGTCACACTCTGAGGGCTCTGGGGCCCCAATGCCCAGCACTGAGTGCACATCCTCTCTGTCAGTGGTTCTCAACCTTCCTAATGCCGAGACCCT